TTAGTTAGTGGCCCCACCAACAAGAAGTCCACCATTTTAGGATGCTGTAAAAGATGATGTCGAGCTGTGTGTTTATTTTCATGCTGGTTTTCCTAACAAAAACTTATTGAAGAGTGAAGAGTGATGCGTACCTTGCAGACAAAATCGTACATTGCATTTACCGCATGTTCCGGGCGTACTAAATTCAGATCAACTGACTTCTCGTGTTCCAAATCTCCAAAGCCATCCTTTCCAACAAAATATTTGGGATTCTCCCAGGGTCGCGGTTTTATAAGATTACTGCAACCCTTGTAAACTGGAATCTACATTTGTATGTATGTATGTAAATAGATGCGTAATGTGTGCAGATAATGAAAATGTTAGTTCAGAAAAACTACTCGCTTACATCATTTCTATTGACTGCATCCAGCACTCTGAGTGTGTTTATCACTGCATAATCTACTGCAGTGTTTCCTTGGACGCATGTGACACCAATTATTTCAAACTTTTTTGATGCACTGGCTAAATCGGTACGCCTTTTGAATGACTCTTCAGCTTTAATCAGCATCATTAGGCCCCATGCATCGTCGTTGCCAACATCACAATCGTATACTACATACCTTCCCATTATTATGAACTGTTCTTGCTGCTAAGTTACACAAAATTGAGAACTTGATTGAAGCTTCTAGTATTTGGTATTGTTTTTTCAATTACATATGTACATATGTGTCCAGTGCCGGTTACAGGGGGGGTGGGGGCGGTTGAGGTGGTCGACCGGAGATCACCACATCTCCTCATCAGACTGCTTTACTGGGATTCGATCCATTATAAGTTAATGTTGTTTTTCCGCAATAGTTTTCATTAAAAACGGTCTTAAGCTCAATAAAATTGTTGAACATAATTGTTATAAGCCCATAAATAGCAAAAAAAAATTAACGCAATATATTCATTTCATATCAGGGGTATAACAGCAAACGCATAGAAAAAGCGCTTGCATTGCCACGTTATTTACCGATATCGCTAGGGAATTGAATTTTAACCTTGTCCTTCCTCGGAGAGCGAATAAACAAAATTTTCGTGCTAATTGTCGTGCATCGAACACTGAAGATTTTTATCGAAATATTTATACCGCTAGTGGATAATATTTAGCTCAATTACAAGAACGATTGTCGAAAGAGATATTAAACATTTTTGACAAACATTGTAAGCCAGAATAAGTACTTATATATATATATATATATATAAATTTTATTACAGTACACTTCACTTCGCACTTCATACAAATTACTCGAACTTCTATTTGCATGAAAAATAGACGAGGGTTCAAGCAGGTTGGATGCTTGTAACTGGGCCATATAGTTCGAACTTTGATTGGTCACTCCCCGGGGAATCAAGTTATAGGCCTGTAGTTAAATGTTATTTGACAAGTTGATCCCAATCCGCCTCCTCCGCCCCCATCCCCCCATCCCCCCATCCCCCCCATCCCCCCTTTAATATTGCTGCGCAAGCTAACTTCTGAAACGTCCGCACTTCGTTGCAGTTAGTTGAATAGTAAATTGCTTAGTGCTCGGCCATAACTCTTCCATTCGCGAAATCAGATTAAGGTATTCCATATCAGCTATTGTGGGTTATCAAAAATAACATTAGAATTCATTGCAGTATATTCATCTCAAGCTGAAGCACATTCATGTGGGGTTTCTATACAGTGAGCAGTGCCGGATTTAGGATTTTTGGGCTCCTAGCCTCTTTCCGTGGTGCGGGCCCCCCTGGAAATACTAAGAAAAATGGCGGGCACATGTCTCTTCTAGATTTTATTTTTTCTTAGATGAGGGGTTTTCTATACAATCTAAAAATAAAAGTTTTATAAATTTTAAACCACGTTATATTTTTTTTGTTTTAAATAGAAGGATGGGTATTAACTGCAAAAGAATATCTATTTTATTTATGAGCCACTTTGGCTTCTTTTTATAATATAAACTGGTTATTTAAGCAGAAAAATGTTAACGAGAAATTATCTAGCTAGGTGCCGCCAAAGTCGAGTTATTTTGAAAAGCCGTATTTATGCTTTAATTTGTTTCAATTTCATGTTTCCTTCGTGTTAAAAATTCGTTCAAAAACAATATTACCAAAACTTTTTAAATGGAAATTTCAGTAACGTAACGTCAGGTAACGTCACGTTAGATAGTTCAGCTGATTAACAAAAAAAAAAACAGTAACGATTTTTACATTTAAAAACTTGGAAACTGAACCTTAAATATTTAAAATAGTACTACAAAAAATTTTATACAAATAGTCTTGTCCAATTCGCAAAGTTTTGCAATTTTGTAACCCAAGTCAAAATCCACTTCAATTTTATTGTAACGTCACGCATATATTTACTAATATGTATCTTTAAACCATTTACAAATTTTGACTTTTTAAATTTTGTTTACATTACGCATACAAATCTCACGTAACGCCAGATTGGAAATGCCCATATGTACATACATATGTACAGTGACGAACAAAAGTATTAACACAGAGAATTTTTCGCAATATATGCAAAGTTTTTATTCTAATTTCTTTGAGCTAATTTTTTATAAAAATATAGTTCATACTACAACAAAAAAAAAAATTAAATATTTGCTGTCAACTTCTTAATTTTTTTCATAGTCTGGTTGAAACTGCAGGCAAATATTTTTTATTTGTATTACCTCGCTCCCTAAATTGTCATCCAAGTCGTTTTCGTATATTAAAAGGGTTTTACTTACTGCTGACATTTCTTTATCACTAAGCGTGTCTTATTTGTTAAGGAACCTAAAATGTTCGTGGACAAGTTTGTAGGTCTCAATCCTCTTTCTCAGTTCACTCCAAAGTGCGTTTATTAAAGGTATGAAACCTTTATTTATTTTTGCTTTACTTTAATTTTACTTGGTTAGTTTTTCCTTTTTTCTTTTGTTTATTAGTTATTATTATTTTAAAAAGAAAAAAACATATATTTTTAATTTTATTTTATTTTTAAAAAGCTTATTCCTAAAGGTCAACAGCATAACGCAAAGACCTCCTCGTTAGCGATCATTCAATTAGTCTTTCGACAGGCAGTAAAGAGCTTTCAAGATAGTTGCCACAATTCACAATTGTCTTACGAAGGACTTTTGTCTTTTGAAACACAGTAGCCAAAAAAAAAAGTTTATTAGTATTATTTTTTATAATTTCACTAAATTCAAGTTAGAATCGTTTCATTAATACTACATACATATGTTCACGTTGAACCATAAACTCGAGTTTAGCGTTTTTTAGGAGGATTTTTATACAATTTATTTAGTATATGTAATAACAATCAAACGGCATTTCCAATTAATATCACAAATCCTTTTCCAATTCACATTCCATATAAACACCTTTAAGTCCCGCTGTCCATGCAATAATTTTTTTGTATCCTTCCCCATTCACTTCCATAATAATTTTTGCATTCTCTTTCTCCTGTCTCAAGTGATCTATAACCATTTGACCGCGTGTGTGTGTACCAGCTAATTCAACGGTGGCATGATAGAGTTGACTCTGTTTCACCGTCAAATGCGGAAAGAGGTAGACTGCTACTAAAACAGCATCACACACTAGCCAACGTTCCAAGCCCTTCGGTATGAATATGGCACATTCCACAAGATTCATCAGTTCGATGAAATCACTTTTAATAGTGCCAAGAACATTTAAACGCCAATCCTGGGAAGATTAACATAGATATAAGTATATATATGTTTTACATAGTAATTTAGTTAGTAAAAATATTGAATTTAGCGTTTACAAGTGTTATATCAAAATCTCCATCGATGCACGTTTCCCACGGTAGAAGAGTCACAGGTGTAGGAACAGATGCTAAAACAATGTGTGCAGCTTCCGGATCCATCATAAAATTGAACTCAGCACTTTTGGTGATGTTGCCTTTGCCTGTAACCACAAAAGGATTTTTAAGTACGTATGTACACATTTCTGGTGAAGAATATATGTATGTATGTCTATACATATTTAGTACGTAAACCAAAATTAAATACACAATTATATTTTATTGTTGGTTTTTTTTTAATGAGAGGACTAAAATCCTTTTGAATATGTACATGTGGTGGTGGAAAATGGTACGGGGTTAAAATGCTTTATAGAATTATATAAGTATCATCAAAAAAAAAAACTATTTCTATTAAGCCTTGTATTGGATTTTTTTTATCATTTTTCCAGAAAATTTTATGGGAGGATTTAAAGTTTTACAATGATGCAAAAATTTTAGAGGTAGCCTGAATATTTTTGAAATTTGCTAACATAACGAAAATGTTTTCAAGTTTTCAATCTCACCCATGCATTCTCACTTTCGGTCTCAAATCCCTATAAACATTCGGACTCATTTTAGAGTCAGAAAAGTCTCAGAATTCTGCGTTGTAACCCCCATCATGAGCTCAAAAAAAGGGTCAGAAAAGAGAATATTCCCCTTCTTAGAAAGGCACGCCATTATGAGTCCAGGCTTTTTGAGTCTTAAAAACAAATATTCTTTATAATTCCGATTATTAATAAACTTTTACTTCCACGTGTGACTTTTATTCAACTCAGAATTTATGACACCAAAAGAGTCCGAAAGGAGTCAGTCTGGTTGACTGGTCTCAGAGGACGCAACATTTTTACATTTCTATCGAAACTAATTTCCCAATTTGGCGAACTCCAAATTTATTTTAGACCCATGATTTCTTCGGCATATTTGTTTAGTTAGCATTACGCCTAGAATCCTTCTGTCGTAAAAATCTCCCATACAAATTTCCCCGCCCTAATATACATACATACATATTTAATTGCTTACCCCTATAATTTCCACCCATAATGTAGATTTTTCCAATTTTATCCAAAAATGCTGAGCCATACATATTGATGCACGTCGCAAAATTGGTCAGCGGCCCCACCAATATGAAGTCCACCCTTTTCGGGTGCTAAAATGTTAAGAATTCAATAAATGTCTTGATCTGTAAATAAATACGGACGAGTGTATGCAAAAGTATTCTTACCTTGCAAACAAAATCGTACATCGCAATTACCGCATGCTTTGCTCGCACCAAATTCAAATCCACTGGCTTCTCGTGTTCCACATTTCCAAAACCATCTTCTCCATGAAAATTTTCGGGATTTTTCCATTCATTTTTCATGATGGGATTACTGCAACCTTTATAGATTGGCAACTGAGAGCTTTTCTTTTAGAATTAGATTTTAATTACATTAAAAGCCATTTAAAAACCTACATCATTTCTGTTGGCTGCTTTCAGTACTCGCAGCGTATTTATCAGAGTCTGATCGACACTTGTGTTTCCTTGTACGCATGTGATGCCGATAATTTCAAATTTCGCTGGTGAATCTGCTAATTCGGAACGATTTTTGTACACTGCTTCAGCTTTAATGAGCATCATCAGACCCCAGGCGTCATCATTGCCAACATCACAATCGTACACCACATATCTGCCCATATTTTAACTATAATGTAGAAGCTTGATTAAAAATAACTACATATGTACGTACGTATATTTCCACAGCAGTATGACAAAATTATGTAATAACTTAAGTCAAAGCTCTTTAACCAATATGTATTTAGTATATGTATTAAATGCAGTAAGTATATGTACATACATATATTTAAGTACCCAATATGAAAATAATTTAAGAATTAATATATCCTCCCCTTTTGCCAGAAGCATGAATGTAGAAATT